TTAAGCACTGGGGATGGTTTAAGTAAGGTCAAAAAAGGACAACCCTTCCAACTGAGGTCTCGAGGGGAAGCACTAGCTCCTAGATGATGGCTATTCTACGTGATCTGGCTGCTGCTTAGGTCTCTGACATTACCTCCCACCTTCTATCCCAGGGTAGCTGGCATTTTTGCTATTTCTTGAACAAGGCTGTTGCTGCCTCAGGGCCTTTGCACATACTGTTTGCCTTTGCCTGAAAAGTTCTTTCCCGTGCTCTCTGCGTGGCTGGCTGCATCACTTCATTACCATCTGTGATTAAACAGTACTTCATCAAACAGATTTTCCAAACACCCTCTAATAAAACCTTCTTCAGACCCAACCCCCACTCTAACACTAGCTATTAATCTCTCTCTCTTTCAGTAGTACTTATCACAATCCGGCATGATTTCATACACATACTTGCTATTGCCTGATTTCCCTGTTGGATTCAAAGTTCTATGAAGATGAACTCTGACTAAATTGTATCCCTAACTCCTAAAACAGTGCCCTGAATCTGCTCATAAATACTTGTTTAAAAATGAAGTAGTCTTCAAAGATGGATCTGTATTCTGTCAGCTTAACTAAACTGGACTACACTTCCCAGAATTCCCTTCCTTGTGTAGCTCCCAATTATCATGGGGTACTTGGCCCAAGATCTGGAAGGCAGCCATGAAGGAGCAGCCATGCTCCTCTGGGCCCAGGAAGTTGGTGCGAGCACCAGGTATCGTTGTAGAGATACACACTGTTTCTTGTCTGCTGCGTCAACTGGTTGGCATGGGGCGGCAGCCAGGCCCACAGTTCCCCCAGCTCTAGCTTCTCCAACTCCTGGGCCAGGGGAATATTGAGCTGTGTGACAAAGAACAGCCATACTTTGCATGACATCTTTGTTATCGAAGTTGGAGGAACAGGTAGACAACACAGTTTCAGTTCCTCCTCGTGGGTTCCAGCTCAGCTGCTAAGGTTCCAGCTTTTTCTTGCTCCCTCCAGGTCACGAGTCTCTTCCCTTCCCAACTGCCTCCCCATGGCCTTCAAGGTCTAACGCAAGATACAGAGACAACAATGTCACACAGGGCAATGGGTTCCCACAACTGTGCAAGGTCAAATCTTTATAATAGATTCCTTATAATAAGTAGTTCTGCTTCTCTGATCAAACCCAGCTGATAACACCCCGAGTCCTACATCTCAACCATTCTCTGTCAGTTTACATCCATCTGCTTTTACTTTTTCTTTTTTTAAGAGATTTTATTTATTTATTTGAGAGAGAGAGAGAGAGAGAGAAAGTACTCATGAGCAGGGTCAGGGAACAGTGGGGAGGAGCAGAGGGAGAGGGAGAAGTAGGCTCCAGCCCAGGACCCTGAGATCATGACCTGAGCTGAAGGCTGACGTTTAATCCACTGAGCCACTCCGGCGCCCCATCTGCTTTTAAACAAAGTTTACCAACTTAAAAAAAAAAAAAATCCCTCGTCAGCCTGACACACCCCTCCAACTAGAGCCACTCTTCCCTTTCCAACTCAACCTTCTTGAAAGACCTGCCTTCATTGACTGTCTTCATTTTACGAAATTCCTCTAGCTCTTGCTAGATCAACAATAAGCTTCATTTGCAAAATCCAAAGAACACATCATTTTTCCAGTTCCCAACTAACGAAAGCCGGTATTTTTCAGTCGTGTTTTCCAAGGCTTGGCTCTCGGACCTCCACAAAACTCTCTGCCCTTGGCCTCCATGGCACCAAACTTTCCTAATTTCCCTCCCTTCTCTCTCCATTTTCCTCTCCCTGGCTGGCTTCTTCTCAACCTGTGTGTTAGACGTTGGGGTCCTCAGGACAGACAAATCCCCTTGGCCCTCTGCCTTCGGTGATCTCCTCCACCCCCATGCCTCCAATTACCACCCAGACACCAACGTAATTTCCATCTCTCTGGCCTCCAGATCTGCTTAGCAATGTCCATGGTGACCTCAGAGTCAGCAAGTCCCAAATCCATTCCTGACCATCCCTGCAATCAGAGGACACCATCATGCTTCCGGTCATGGCCAAAGCCAGAATCCTGAGATCAATCCTTGACTAGGCTTCTTCTCACAACTCCCCAGTCACCAGGTGCTGGCAACTCAGTCTTTCAAATGTCCCCATCCACTTCTCTCCATCCCTATGGTCACCACACTCGTCCTACCTGACACCTTGCCCCCTTCCCCATCTCATTCTTCACGATGAGGCCCCCCTTTCGCTGCCTCATTCAAATACGTATGCCGTTGCAGCTGTATTCCAGAAGGATCTCTACAAAGTGCAGATGCAATCATATTTCTCTGCCTCGAACTCTTTTAAGGTTATCCACAGGGTAAACTATAACACTTTGGGGGCCTAGGGCATCAGCCCTGTCTCCTCGGCCCTACCTTAAGCCCTCTATCTCTCCCTTGTCCGTTCTGCAGGCACTCCCCCCTATTCCTGAGATGAAAGCATTTCTCCTCCATCTGGCTTTTGCACCCTCTCCCCAGAATGATCTTCTTGGCCTCCTTTTCCTAGCAAATTCCCGCTCTTCCTTCGGATGTTGACTTGGACCTCCCTGCTTGCCACCCCCGGATCAGAGCGGTTTCTGTCATTCACCCCATAACACCTGCTCTTTACGCCACATCACGCCTGTCCCTTATATGCTGAACATCTGTCCCCTACCAGGCACATGAGAGTGGCGTGAGGTCCTGTCCTGTCCACCCACCATATGGACCATGAGGGCTGGCAAACTCCCTGCTCGTGGCGAGTGAGTAACAAATGCTCATCAAATTAGTAAATTTAAAAGGTTTGAAAGCTATCTAGGGCAATATCCTCATTTTACAGAGAAAGGAAAGGAAAGGAAAGGAAAGGAAAGGAAAGGAAAGGAAAGGAAAGGAAAGGAAAGGAAAGGAAAGGAAAGGAAAGGAGTGGAGTCAACTATAGCCCACGGGGAATTGATATTCCTGTTTCCCAGGAGTTAAGTTTTAATCGTGCAGACCGCTTGACCTTGGAATGCTCAGGAGGGACAGACAGATAGGGCTATCTAGACGCGTACACACACACACACACACAGACACGCACACGCACTCCGAAATATTCCTGCTATGAAACTTACAGACAGGAGCAAACTATTCTGGCCATGTCCCCACCTCCTTGCTAAATGTGTCCCCAGCCGGCTGCCCGAGAGGGATTTTACTGCTAATCTGTTCCTGGTCTGCTGGTCAGGCAAGGGCAGTGGTGGATGGGACGGGGGCATTCTAATTCAAGGACTTTGGGAATGAGGCTGAAGGATTTGAATTAACTCCAAGAGACAAACATCAGTCTGCATTACTCACTTGAGATTTACGAAGCGGGGCAGTGAAGAGAGGGTCCAAGCTTGAGTCCAGTGGGGCCACAGTCTGGGCCCAATTGTCCTTCCCAGCTTCCTTCCCCCTGTCCTTATTCCCTTCCCATCCCATATCCCCAAACTCCTGCTGTTCCCAAAACTCGACCTTCTTTCATGACTCTGGGGCTTTCTGTAGGATGTTTTCTTCCCTATTTTTCTCTTCTGCCCTCCACTCTACAGCTCCTTCAAGGCAGAGCTGATGCGTTATCAACTCTGCAAGCTTACCCTTCCCACCTAGAAAGAGCCCTTGCTTCCTTCCAAGCATCCCACAGCATCCTTCACACCTGGGCTGGTACACTCATGCTAGCTGTTGGTGGGTCTCTCTCCTGCACGAAACTGCGGGCAAAGCTTGGGTCTTTCCTGCACCCTGGACCCACCATGGTGCGTGCCCCACTGTGTCACAATCCTGGGAGGTGCTATCTGCAAACGCACCAGGGTTTCCTTCCTTCGGGAAGAGCAGAAACTTGCAGAACTTTCTATGATCAAAAAGGGGGACCTCCCCCCAACGTGCCCCAGCCATAGAAACCAAAGGCCCCCAGCCTCGCCATGAGTTGCCAAGCCTGAGGGGCCCCAGGGAGTCTGGGCTCCAAAGGGGAGCCCACTGTGCTGTAGCTGCCAGCCTGGGGGAGGAGGAGCTCTCCGCAGAGATCCTAGAGGACTGAGTCACTGGAAGGCAGCCAATTGCGGCCGGATGAGAGGGAGCTGGGTTAAGGAGAGATCTGCTTGGCCACCCCTCCGGATGAGCACAGCCGGGACACAAAGCTCCACCTGTCAGGCCCTCCACACGATTCCTCGGCCTGGTGCTCCCAGGCCTGGCCCCATGCCCACCGCCAGCAGCTGCTTCCCTCCCTCCCTCCATGGGCGGCCTTTGGTTCCCCTCCCGGGGACAGCTGTACCACACCAGCAGGTGGGAGGGGGCTCCACAAGGGCCTCCCAGCTCTGGCTTCTAATGGCGACCTTCAAATCACTGGAGAGCCAGCAGCAGAGAGTAGCCCCATGGCACCTGGGTGTCCCCAACTTGAGTGACAAGTAAAAGTGCTTCCAGGTGACCAGAGGCGCTCTTCAAGGCCCCCTTCATTTTCTCCAAGGTCCCCTGGCTCAGCTCCATGCTATGGCCATGCCCAAGACCCCTGTCTTCCCTCTGCAGAGCCTCGCGGACAGCCCGCACGCAACCCAGACAGCAAGACAATAAAGCAAACCAGCAGAGCGAATGTCTAAAGAGAAACACAGAGCAGAATTTTATTTTTTATTTTTTAAATGAATTTTTTATAAAGGTAATATCAACTCATAGGAAATGACTGACACAGGTATCTACACATACATGTATGAATATATGTATACATACACATATATGAAGGTATAATATAAATAAAAGTTTTGGCTGTGCCCTGGCAAGTGGCGGCAATCAGTGTCCTTGGAGTACGTTCAATGACTGTGTCTGTGTTTCCATGAGGAGCCCTTGCCACAAACCACGAGAAAAGAGCGAGGACTGGTACATCCTAGGCCTGGTACAGAGACGCCAACCAAGTGGGTTCAGAGAGGTGCGCCAACAGTGCCATCTGGAAACTTGAAAACAGCATCACCCTTTGCTACGATGTACAGAAGACAGTCTGGAGCCCTAATGTGTATTGGGGTTTTTTTTTTATCTTAAATGTGAAGTCCCTGGGTTGAAGGGCTCCTTGAACTTTGGGTCCTTGGTCCCTCGTGCAAAAGATGCCTGTAAGTGCTTGAGAGTCAATTTCATCCATTCTGTATCTGCCAGCATACCCAGCAAAGAGTCAGATGCCGCAGCCCTAGTGAAGGCAGAAGGCTTTACTCAAATAATCCAAAGGGGACAGGGAGGGCCCTAGCAGAAGCCCTCGCAGAAAAAAGGGCCTCCACTTTCCTTTTTTTTTTTTTTTAATATTTTATTTATTTATTTGAGAAAGAGAGAGAGAATGAGAGAGAGAGCATGAGAGGAGAGAGGTCAGTGGGAGAAACAGACTCCCTGGCGAGCAGAAAGCCTGATGTGGGATTCCATCCTGGGACTCAGGATCATGACCTGAGCTGAAGGCAGTCGCTTAATCAACTGAGCCACCCAGGCACCCGGGCCTCCACTTTCTGATCATCTCTGCCACCCCAGGTGATGAGGTCCTGGGAAAACTGGGCTGAGACAGGCTGGGTAACTGTGCGGAGTTAAGGAAATGGTGTGTGTGTGTGTGTGTGTGTGTGTGTGTGTGTGTGTGTATTTTTTTCCCTTAAACATTTTATTTATTTGAGAGAAAGAGTGCATTCACAAGATGGGGAAGGGGGCAGAGGGAGAAGCAGACTCCCCACTGAGCAGGGAGCCCCATGCAGGACACAATCCAAGGTCCCAGGTATCATGACCTGAGCTGAAGGCAGATGCTTAACTGACTGAGCCACCCAGGCGCCCCAAGGAGATGGTATATTTTTTTATTACTTAATATTCCACTCCCAGAGGGTAACATTTTTATTTCCTTTTTCCAATGCTTTCATTTGACCTTTATTTTTACCAACAGACATAAAAATCTTAAAAAAAAAAAAAACACAGGTGGCTAAACCATAATCCATCTGATGAGCATTTCAATGTCACATTTCCCTTGGAGTTTAAGAATTTCACTTGTTAAAAATAATATAAATGTAATTTTATATGGCTGCATAATATTCCATCTTATGGATATATTCATCCATTCATTGATTATTTATTTTATGCCTACTGTGTGCTAGGCATTTTTAAGCACTGGGTGTATCAGAAATTACTCATCCAGGGGCCCCTGGGTGGCTCAGTGGGTTGAGCCTCTGCCTTCAGCTCAGGTCATGATCTCAGGGTCCTGGGATCCAGCCTCACATCCGCTCTCTACTCAGCAGGGAGCCTGCTTCCCCCTCCCCCTCTCTCTGCCTGACTCTCTGCCTTGGTCAAATAAATAAATAAATAATCTTAAAAAGAAAAAAAAAGAAAACTCACTTTAAAAAAAAAAAGACATTACTCGTCCACCTCCTGTTGAATGTGGAAGTTGTTTATAATTTTTCAACACTGTGATAAGCATCTTTGTTTGTAAGAGGATTTTGTATATTTCAAGTTCTTTTCCTAGGACAGATTCTTAGAAGTTGAATTAGTAGGTCAAAGAGTAATAAATAACGTTCTCAACACATTGTGCCCAATGCTTTCCAAAAAGGCAGGCCAATTTGTACTTTCTTTATCAGAAGAGTGCCGATTTCGTACATCCTGACATGATTCAATTTTCTCACTAGGAAGAAACATATGAGTATCTTCTTTGATCATTTTGTATTTCTTACTTACTAGTTTTTCTTGTGTTTATAAATTGTTTCCTTCCTTTGCAAGTCATCTATTCATATCCAGTCATCTATGGGAGCATCTTACTTAGAAGTTTAAGTACTTTATATAGTGGGGCACCTGGGTGGCTCAGTCAGTTAAGCGTCTGCCTTCGGCTCAGGTTATAGTCTAGGGGTCCTGGAATCAAGCCCCACGTTGGGCTCCCTGCTCAGCAAGGACTCTGCTTCTCCCTCTGCCCTTCCTCCTGCTCATAGTTGCTTTCTCTCTCTCTCAAATAAATAAATAAAATCTTTTTTAAAAAATCCTTTATATAGTAAAATATTTACCCTCTCACTTTTAAAAGCATATTTCCTGAGAATAGCTATGATTTTTATCCTTTTACTAACTTTAAATTTTTAATAAAGATCATCAAAACCATACATGAATGTAGTCTCAAAAATCAAGCTATCAAGAAAGTGAAAAGACAATCCACAGAGTGTGAGGAAATATTCGCAAATCACATGTCTGATCAGAGTCTAGGATCCAGAGTATATAAAGAACTCTTGCAACTCCGCAACAAAAACAAAAACAATCTAATCGAAAATAGGTAAAGGACATAAATAAACATCCCTCTAAGGAAAACACGCAAATTGCTAATACACATATGAAGAGATACTCAACATTATTAGTCATTAGGGAAATGACAACGAAAAACCACAATGAGATACTACTTCACATCCACCGGGCTGGGTATACAAAAGAAAGAAAAGAAAAGAAAAATGAAAAGAAAAGGAAAGAGAGATAGAATGAAAAAAGAGAGAGGAAGAAAGAAAGAGAGAGAAGGCGAGAGAGAAAGGGAGAGAAATAAGAGAAAGAAAGAAAGAAAGAAAGAGAGAGAGAGGTGTTGGCAAGGATTAGGAGAAATTAGAACTCTTGCCCATTGCTGGTGGGAATGGAAGATGGTGCAGCTGCCGTGGAAAACAGTTTGGAAATTCCTTAATGAGTTAAATAGCATTACCGTATGACCCAACAATTGTGCTCCTAGGTATATACCAGATAACTGAAAACAGGTATTTAGACAAATACATGAACGCCGATGTTCACAGCATCACCATGCACGATGGCCAAAATGTGGAAATAACCCAAATGTCCCTTGGTGAATGAACAGGTAAACACAGGTGGTATGGGCCGCCTGCTGGAACAGGATTCAGCCATGAAAAGGAATGAAGACACAGTGACCACGGACGTACCTCAAAAACACGGCGCTAGGTAAAAAAGCCAACACAAAAGGTTGCACGCCGCAGAATTCCAATTGTACAGACCTCCCGAAATAGATAAATTCATAGAGACAGACACTGAAACTGGTGGTTGCCAGGAGCTGGGGGTGGGGGCAAGGAGACAGGAATGTGACTGCTTCATGGGTTTCCTTTGTGGGGGAGAAAGAAGATGTCTTGGAACTAGAGACAGACAGCGGTTGCACAATACTGTGAATGTACTTAAGGTCACTGAAATGTACACTTGAAAATGATTAACGGAAAGGACGCCTGGGTGGCTCAGTTGGTTAAGCGGCCGACTCTTGATTTTGGCTCAGGTCATGGTCTCGGGGTCCTGGGATCGAGCCCCATGTCGGGCTCCATGCTCAAGGGGGAGTCTGCTTCAGGATTCTCTCTCTCCTTCTCTCTGCAACCACCACGGCTCCCACGTGTTCAGTCTCTCTCAAATAAATATCTTTAAACACATTTTTTAAAATAAAATGGTTAGCAGTTAATTGTTTTTGAAATGGAAATTTAAAAAATAAAACATCAAGTGCTAAAGACACTTTTTTTTTTTAAAAAAGTAGGCTCCATGCCCTCCACAGCCCTGTAATCAAGATCATGTCAGATGCTCAACAGCGCCCCCTAAGGACAGCATCCAATAAACAAGCTGCAGTACTTGTTTTCCCTGTTTCCAATTCTACTTCCCAAAGGCAGTCTTGCTTTTTACCTCTTTTCCCTTCTAGTAGTTAGTAATAAACTCGATGTTTCCAATTATTATACGTACACTGTTTCTTCATTTACTAATCTGAAATGCTACCTAATGACTTCCTAATATGATAGCTAAGACATAGTTCGCTTAGATAGCCAACCATCTCTACTTCCTCATCTGCACAACGCAGATACACAAATATTTCAGTGAAATAATCAGTGTTTAAATGACGACTGTATAAATGTCATTCTGCACACAGACAGGTGGAGAATGATTACATTTCCATTCTCATTTTTTTTCTTGAAGTTAGTAATTGCTTTGTTGTTTTATTTGCATAACCTTCTACATACATGTTCTAAACTTCTCCAAAATACTCTACTGTAGGAGATATTGTGTGGGGTGCTTTGTTTCCAGGAGGTGCCCCTTGGGGCCGCTCACCTGCACTCGGTCCGCTTCTCCTATACCTCATGTTGTCTTCTACCTCACTTCTGTTGAAGGGCACCTCCAACAAAAAGGAATCACAGAGGGGTACCTGGGTGACTCAGTCGGTTAAGCATCTGGCTCTTGGGTTTCGGCTCAGGATGTGATCTTAGGTTCCTGAGATCGAGCCCCATGTTGGCCATCCACTTGGCAGGGAGTCTGCTTCCCGCCCCGGCCCAGCCCCTCTACCCATTCATGCACCTCCTCTCCCCGTCTCTAAAATAAAAAATAAATAAATCTTTAAAAAAAAAAAAAAAAAAAGGAACCAAAGGAATTTCTTTTTCTTCCATCCTTGGTTATCTGGAAGTATCTTTGTTCTGCTTTCATGCTTTATTAGTCACTTGGGTATGAAATAATACATGGAAAATCATTTTCCTCCAGAATTCTGAAGGCATACAAAACCTAGTGTCCAGAGTCACTCTTGAAAAGTTCAATGCCATCCAATTCCCATTCCTATGTCTGGTGCCTGTTGTTCCTCTCCAGGAAACTGGAATCCCCTCATGAACCCTATTGACATAAAATTTCACAATGTTGCACCTTGGTGTGACTTTTGTCTTTTATTGTGCTGGGTACCTGTGGTCCGCAGATGTTTCTGGTACAACTTCTTTGGCTTCCTCACCTCTGTTGTCTCTGCTTCTCTTTTTGGAACTCCATTTTTATACTGAATCTTCTGGATGGATGCTCCATGTCTCTTGTCTGCTCTGTGTACTTTTCAACTCCTTGTCCTTCTTTGCTATTTTGTGAGAGATTTCCTTGACCTTATCTTCTCTACCTCTGAATGATTCTGAGTCCAGGGACTTCTTGAACTCTATGCAAATACTATCTGGAAGTTTCTGAAGTTTTCTTCTGAACTTGCATTGTCTTTGTTTCTTACAGATAGCTTCTTCATGATCATTTTAGTTCACGCAGCCTTC